GGTGGTCCTACACCTCATACAACGCGATTGGATCTTTAAACAACCCCCTGGTACTTCTGTATGTCCGGTGTCCTTGAGAGCCGAGAGCAGGAACTTTGGAACCGGCAGTCCCGGGTGTGAACCCAGCTACATGTATACTACCAGAAAGTGACCAAACTAGTCCTTCCTCTCGTGTGAATTTGGGGGTATTTATACTCGCTTCACGTAGAGTAGCTGTGAAATGCCCACCCCAGTGCTAAGCATGCAGTAGGAACAACTGGCCATGTGGGTTCCAGCTGTCTTAACCACCATGCCAGAATTCTTTTATTTTTTATTCTTACTTTTAAAACATTTGACTTTATTTATTTATTTTAAATTTGACCAGAGAGGGACAGAATAAGAGAGAGAAGTGGGGCAAAGTGAGAAAGTAAGCTGCCAGGTCTGGAACTCGAACCGTGGTCAACCATGTGGGAGTCCAGCACCCTTAACTACCATACCACCTGCCATCCCTATTATTACTATTTTTTAAAAATTTGCTATAGGGCATGTGCCCTCACCAGAGAGGGATAGAGAGAGAGAAAGCAAGCCACCAGGTCTGGAGCTCAAACCATGGTCAACCATGTGGAGTCTAGCCCCTTAACCACCATGCCACCTGCTGGCCCCATATATGCTTTTTTTTTAAAGAGATTTTTTTTGTTAGTGCATGTGCTTGCCAGAGAGACAGAGAAAGTGAGAAATCGCCCCCCAGGGGGGGTATGGCCACACCACCATCCCTTCACTCTCTTGGGATTTGGGCACACGTGCACACCCACCTCACGAGGTCTGGGACTCACAAGGTCTGGGACTCAAACCATAGTCGACTGTGGGAGTCCAGCGCCTTAACCACTACACCACCTGCTGGTCCCTATATATGCATTTTTTTGAGAAAAGAAGTCATGTTTTTCATCAGTCACCTGAGAGTTCAGTGATTCAAGAAAGGTTAAGTGAGAATCAGAGCTGAGAGGCCAGCAGGTGGCACAGGTTGTGGCACTGGATCCCACATGGCCACTTGCATGGTGCGAGTCTCAGACCTGGTGGTTTAAGCAGCATGCTGGGCATATATGTGTGCATTCCCGAAATCCTGAGAGGAGAAAGGAGGAGAAGGGATTGTGGCGCGGCCATCCCTCTTGGACGAGTTCTCACTTTCCCTCTCTCTCTGTCTGCCTAGCCAGCATGCATACCCTGCAGCAAACAGACAAAACACCCCACAGAGCTAGAAAGGTGTGCCAATCACTGATGTCCCAGTTTTTGTTGTTTTTGCCAGAGTGTGTGTGCTGGCCAGAGACAGCAAGACAGAGGAGGAGAAAGCACACCCCCATGGGGCATGGCCATGCTGCAATCCCTTCTCCTTTTCTCCATCCTACTGGGATTTCAGGCATACACACAAATGCACCTAGCATGTTTTCAAGTCCCCAGGGCTGGGATTCAAAATGCATGGTTGGCCATTTGGGATCCCCCTCCTTTAACTATTAGGTCATGGGGCTGACCCTGAGGCTCCAATTTGCGTTACTGCTATTATTATTTTTGTAAGTTGCCAGAGGACACACGTGCTTGCTGGAAAAAGAGAAAGGGAAAATGAGCAAGCATCCTCACAGGGGATGGTCACGCTGCAATTCCTTCTCCATTTCGCCCTCCTTTGGGGATTTTGCGCATACACACACACACACACACACACACACACACACACTGGAGTGTTTTGGAAGCCACTAAGTCCAGGACTTGAACCATGTCGTTGGCCAGATGGGATCCAGCCCCCTTCACCACCCCATCTGTATTTTACAAATCACAAACCCACTTCCACCATCACCCTCTCCCACGCATCCGGACCCAGACACAGATGAGGCAGCCAACACCAGCCCTTCAGGCCACTTCCTCAATAACCAATGGCTTAAAAAAATCTTTAATGGAATCTGTGCTCAAATAATATGTTACAACAAAAATATACAGAATGTACACAATACAAAAATATTTAGAAACAAACGTTGCAGCTTGTGTTTTGTTCCACTTACTCAGGTCCTCCAAGGGGCAGGTCACTACTGGGCAGTTTTTAAGGCAGAGGAGATGTGGTGCTTTCCCGCCAGCCATGGGAGCGACGTGAGTGCTGGGGAAGGCTCCCACTGCACCTGGGAATCTGCACTATCTGCGCACTAAGTGGGGCGCTGGGGGGAGATCTGGGTTTGGTGAGCAATGACTCCTCTAATCCTCTGGGCAAGAATGGCTCTCATGGAAATTGAGGGTCCTATTAGCTGGCAAAAGAGCCTCATTAGGGAGCTTTTCCTAATTAAAAAACCAATGATGAATGGTGTCATTAAATTGAAATTTCTCCTTTGAAGGTTTTTTTCCCCCTTCCCATTTCTGTGATTCTCCTACTTAACGAGCAAGTGAGCGTACGGCTGGTTGGGGATTCCCAGCTCCCAGTTTCTGTATCCTGGGCATGAAAGGCCGACCTACCTCCGCCAGCCTGAGGACTGACACTGCCCTCTGCTCCCTAGCACCCTGGCTGGCGGCCATGCTGGATGAGAAAGGAGGGAGGGACATGTTTCTGTAAGGAGCACAGGGAACTGCTGAGGAACAGGGCAAACCCCACAGAGCAAACCTTTCTGATCATCTGTCTCCAGGCCCTGGGCTGGGTCAGGTGACCTACAATCCCCGCTCTATGGCCCTGCTTGGAAGAGATAGTTTGGAGAAGGTGGTAGAAGTGGGGGGTGGTGACAGGGTGCAGCTGAGGCTGGGGCCTGCAGCAGAGACAAGGCTCCTTCCATGTGTCCTGGACCTCAGAGGATGGCTGGCAGTGGGTGGCAGGCAGCTGTCTTGGGCAGTTGTCAGTAACAAGCTGCAGCCCGAGCACTTTCTAGTCTTCTAGCTCAGTGCCTTCTCAGCTCTCCCTAGGTCACACAGTCAGAGATAGGGATGCCACTCTGCTGGCTCCACCAACATCCCAGAAGCCCTGGGTGCCAGGAGAGGACTACTCTGCCACTCTAGGAAGGGACAGCACTGCTCAGCCCAAAGCAGAGGTGGCAAAGTCCTGGTTGCCTTCTCCATCCTTACCAAGCCTCCTCTCCTAAGGAGCTGACTCCCATCTGCATTCTCTGATGGGCAGAGAACAGCAGGCAGGTGCTCTGGGCTAAACTTAGCCAAAGGTTTAGGCACACACTGCCACAGTCTGACAGTCCTCGACGGGGCACTGACGTGAGTGTAGCATGACCTTAGATGCCATGCATGGAGACTGGGACAACCCATTTAGCCTCGGGCAGAGATGTGGAAGGCTTTGGCATAGGCTGCAAGTGAGCAGGTGTGTCCCTGGGTAGGAAGACCCTGCCCACCTGCAATTATTTGGTACTGAGTCTAGGGTCAGCCAGGCCAGGCACAAGGGCAGGAAGCCGCAGGCCCCGGGACCCTGAGGTGTCTGACCTGGCTGACCCTGGATTCAGTACCCACAAGGGCTCCCAAGGGCGAGGGCAGGACAGTAGTTCCTGCACTCCTGCCCTTGTTCCCGGGAGTATGCAGCCCCTCTGGCTCCCAGGCCTGGGGCTCTTTGACCTCCGGGTCATCAGCAGCTTTAAGTTCCAGGAGCAGAATAAAGGGAATGGTATGTTTTGTCAAATGTCATCCTCTTCCTATTTCCTCCTGAGGCCTGCAATGCTCCTGCCAGGGCTCATTGGCCAGCCTCGTTTTCCCACCTGTGAAATGGGCGTGGGTGGCCTTGGTAATCTCCAAGTTCCCTCCCATATCTGGTATCGACTGGCTGCTCCCACCTCTGGCATCCACCCAAGCCCCCGGCAATCCTCCAAAAGCAAAGTTCGCCAGTCGCGTTGGAATTCCCACTCCTGCTGTCCCTGTGTCCCCGCACATGAGTACACGGCCCAACGTTCCTGCCCCAGGCTCTTGGGCCCCAGCTTCTCTCCTGAAGGAGAAACTACACAGAAGCTTTTCTGCTGTGAAGGCCACCCCAGAGGGAAATGACACAGAACTTGGCTAAGGCAAGGAAAACCTTAGCATCCCAAGGGCCCCTGGAGGCCCCAGGTCTCCCTCCAGCCTGGTCAGTGAATCATCAGCGAGGTTCCTGAGATGGGAAGGGCAAGGGCGAGCACTGCTGAGAGCAAGGACATTCAGAAACCCTGAACTCCCTCCTGCTTCTCAGCACCCTCTCTCCTCTCGTGACCTCCCCCCAGGCCATGGCCCCAGCCCTTAGGCCTCTTCTGCAGGTTCCCACTTGCCTCCCTCTGTCTTTCCCATCTCTCTCTCTCACACGCACACACACACACGCACACACACACATGCACACATGCGCGTGCACGCACGTATCAAAATGCTGTCTCCACTACTAAAGGAGAGGCACGAAGTAGGGTCAGGGGAGTGGGAGGGAAGAAAACAGCCTAAAACCCACACAGGGCATGGTTGCTGGGCTGCAGGGTGTGAGATGTCGGCCCTCCGGGAGAAGGGGCGGGAGATGGCTGAGGTTGCGCCTGGGCCCTCCCTAGGGAACCTGGTGAAGTTGATGTCGCTCTGCTGCAGCTCTTTCATAGGTCACCAGGCCAGAGGAGGGCCCAGAGCCACAGCATCTCCCGGCTCTGCCCAGCCCAGTCACTGGAGGCCACACTCCAGCACCCACCTCCAGGGACACAGGGCACCCCGGGCTCACCCAGGTTGAGGTCCTGGGCCCAGCAGCTGCAGAGGGTACACTGCTGGCCTGCAGGGATCTCCAGGCTGGCAACCTTCAGGCTGGCCTTCCTCCCTTAGTCTCTTGGGGTACAGGCTGGCCAGGAAGGCTGCGGCTCAGTCTGTTGCAGTTGGAGGGGACACATGGAGCCCAGTCCACAGGGAGGGCCACGGGGAGGGCCACCTCACCTTACCTCAGGCTTTCACCCTGGCCTGATGTCACCAAAACAGCCTAGAAGAATGACGACAACCACGTCAGCGCCTCGCCCAGGAAGGAGCCTCGGCGGTCTGCCCAATTCTACACACGGAATCCCAGCAGCCCAGCGTCTCTCGCTCTCCCCTCGCTGGCCCCACTGAGCTGGGGATGAGAAAACGAATGCAAGTGCTCCCTGTGGATGCAGCTCCCCTCCCACACCTCAGTCCTCCAGCCCCTTAGGGGGGCGGTGGCAGCTTCAAGTCTAGCAGGGTGTAGGCAAAGATGTTCCAGAAGACAGCGAACAGCACGAAGACGGTGTACATGGCCACGAAGATCCACCACAGCGACTGGTCCTGCAGCCTCTGCTCGTAGTTCCTCAGGACCACCACGCCCAAGGTGATGCCCACGGCCACACCGCCCAGGTGTGCCACGAAGCTCGGGTGAGGGCATGGGGGGTAAGCTGACGGGTGGAAGCGCAGCCACACGGCCCGCCCAAACTCCATGCTCACTGCAAGGGAAGCACAGAGAAGTCAGGGGCAGGCCCAGGGGAGGAGCGCAAGGAGAGGCTTTGGACTCCAGCCATCCACCCACCCATGATTCAGTCTGTCCATCAGGCCAAGCACCTGTCTGCACAGTGGAGAAATAGACACCAGTCTTTGTTCCCCCACAACTTACAGGGTCTGGCCATAGACCAGCAAACAGTTACATACACAGGAAGTGTCAGTAAGAGATCCATGGATGGGGGAAAAACAAGGGGTGTACAATTAGCACTGGACACCAGGGGGCGTTAGGCAACTCCCTCCAAGAGGTGACACCTCAGCTGAGATTTGAATATTGAGAGGGGCCTGGCCACAAGAAGACCCTAAGAAGGTGGAGAGGGCATTCCAGGCAAAGGGGACCCCTGGTGTGGACGCCGGATGGCCCTCGCACCGCTGTGGTCATGCTGCAATGCCTGGGGCCTGGTTCCCCACCTGCGCATCTGCATGAAGTCCCGGCCTATGCACAGGCTGCACCACTGGGACATGAATAATTTCGGGATGTGCCTAGTGTTTACAGACTACACAGCATTTTCATGGATTATTTCAAAACGCTCAGAAACCCTTCAGAATCAGTGATTTTGTCAGAAGAGATGGAGGGAGGAAGGGCAAGGAGGGAAATAGATGATCCAACCTCAACACATTGCTGGCCTTTATCTCTTAACAAATCTAAAAATACCTCCATCTGTCTTCCTTTTATTTTTTTTTTAGTTTTGCTGTAGAGTGTGCAGTGCAGTTAATAGAGACAGAGAGAGACAGGGGAACAGTGAGAGAGAGAGAGAAGTGAGAACGTCTCCCAGAGGGATGGCCACACCACAATCCTTTCTCCTCCATTCTCCTCTTGGAATTTTGTTCAGGCATACACATTCACCCAGCATGATTTTCAAGCTGCCCGGTCTGGGACTCAAACTGCAGTCAGATATGTGGGATCCAGCCACCTTAATCTCCATGCCACGGGCTGGCCCATGTTGTCTTTTTTTTTCTTCAGTTTTGTTATATGGCGTGTGAGCTCACCAGATACAGACAGACAGAGAGGCAAAGTCAGAAATCACCCCCTGGAAGGATGGCCACACCTCAATCCCTTCTCCTCCATTCTCTTCTCAGGATTTTGGGCATGCACTCACACACACCCTGGTTGATTTTCAAGCCACCAGGTCTGGGACTCGAACTGTGCAATCTGCCATGTCAGATCCTAAACCTCCACACCACCTGCTGGCCACCATCTAACTCTCTAATCCATCCTTATTGTATGAACTTCTTGTGTTGGCCAATCAAATGGAGGTGTAGACCCTTGAAAGGATGGAGCTGGCAACTGTGTCATCTCGTTACCCACCACCAAGAGAACACTGAGGGTAAGTATTCTCATTCCCATGTTACAGATGAGAAAACCAAGGCAAAGTCGGCAGATTGCAAGAAAGCTCTCCGAGGGGAATTTTGTGCTTGTTCAGTTGCCATTTAATGAGCCAGTGCACTCCTTTCCTTGGGAACCACTCTAAGGGCCAGAGCCTCCAGGGCCCTCCATATCCTTGGGGTGCCCTGGACTGGGCCCTGCGACTCCAAGGATGGCCGACAGATGGCAGAAAAGGAGCAGCCAGAGAAGGACACTAGGCCCTCCCCAGCCCCAGCCCAGGCCTGGCCCTGGGGCATTCTCCCGCCTTTGCTCAGCAGGGCCTCGGTGTGATAAGGGAAGTTTCTAAGACAATGATCCCCAACTCCAAAACCGTATATTAGCTTCTATGATGCTTGGAGTTAGATATTTTATTTAAGTTTTGAGTTTATGTACTTATTTCTTCCATGAGCTAGACACATACACACACACACAGCACCCCTGGAGGGGTCTCAGTACCACCATCCACCCCAGCCTCAGCCAGACCCAGATCATGTGAACCTGCTGTACTCAGGTGGGGCTCTGGATGCCAACCTGGAACCTTCCCACGTGGGTCAGTTCTGCAGTGTCGCATTTACCACTGCATCCTTGTTGACCCCACGGTTTGTTTGTTTTTCCCCAACAGCAAGCCTTATGCTTCCCCTTTCAGAGTCCAAGCAGACATGGAAGTTCTGTGCACCCTGCTTTACTACCCTGTACTGTTCTGACGAAAGGAGCCCTAGGGTTTTAAGGCTGGATGGTCCTTCCTCGGATTAGAACCCCTCCAACTCCATCCATTCAACAGATCCAGAGAACCATACAGGGCTGGACACACCGAAAACTCCCCGAAAACCATGGGGTAGGAGGCAAGGGGTGTGGATGCCCTCACAGCAGAGCCTTCCCAGGCTTGATCTGCGACCCCTTTATTCCAGCTAGTCTTCCTCCTACCCACACTCAGCAGCTGACCCGGGCACTCCCTGTGCAGCATGGCTAAGTGGAGGGTGGGACAAATGGCACAGGGGGCTCCAAGCCTGTCTCTATCACTTCCTAGCTGGGTGGTCTGGGGCAATTGACTGAGCCTTGAGATTCCCTCATAAGGTAAGCCAAGGGATACCTCATCACAGGTGCGTTCTGAGGGCTGACGGAGAGCGTTTCCTCTTCTCTCTTCTTACCTCCAACTGCTTCTGAGCCCTTTGGCCTTCGGCCCCACCCCCTTCACTCAGTTTGTCCTCCACCACAACCTGACTGGTTCTCTACGCTCCAGTCTGCCACTAACTCGTGCACTCAGGATGAAGCACACTGGCCCCTTTGCATTTAAAGCACTTTGTGATCTGACGCCTGTGACTACAAACCTCACCCCTCAGTTGTCCTAACCAACCTGCTGTCGGGACCTTTCACCCCCAGGTTTTTGATCATGCTGTATCTTGTCCCAGATGCCCGATTCCATCTTCTCCACCAGGTAGACACCTATTTGTTATTGCTGTTGCTGTTGCCAGAGTGCACGTGCACTCACCAGGGAGAGACAGAGAGACAGAGAGAGAAGCAGTGGAGAAAGCGCCCCTCAGTGGGGTGGGATCACATCACAACCCCTTCTCCATCTCTCCCTCCCAGGGTTTTGGGCATGCGTGCGCACACACACACTTGCGCGTGCGTGCACACACACACAGACACACACACTCACACACACGTCTAGCATGTTTTCAAGCTGCTGGGCCCAGGATTTGAACTACAGTTAGCCATTTGGGATCCAGCTTCCCCTACAGGGATGACTCCCCACCTGCTTGTCTTTAACACTCAGAATGACCTCTGTAGGGGGACCAGGAGGTGGCGTGGTTGTTAAGGTGCTGGAATTCCCACATGGGCACCTGAGATTGGAGTCCTAGACCTGGAGGCTTGCTTTCTCGCTCTCTCTCTGAGGTAGAATAGGTTTCTCCCAACTAGCCCCACCCCCACCATGCCTGCTCCTGGGGGTTCATGGAGTAATTACAGTTTGTGAATCTGCAAAAACTGTTTTTAATGTGTGTGTGTGTATGTATGTGTGTGCACATGCATGTAAGTGTTTTGCTGGGGAAGAGGACTCTAACTTCCATCAGGGCATCTCAGGGCCAGCTCCATGACCCAAAAAGTCAAGAAGTTTCTTCTCTTGATCTGGGTTCTGGTCATTGTGTATCACACGGCAAGCAGGGACTAAGGACGGTGGTGCGGGGGTGGGCAACGCTCTGCGCGATGAACCCACAGAGCAGGGCTCCAGATTCGCATCAGATGCCTCTGAACAGTTCTGGCTCATGCACCCCTAGATCCAGAGCTGACTGGGGGTGGAACACAGCATCAAGGCCTGCTGAGGGAGCGATCTCTCTCTCTCTTTCTCTCTCGGAAGAAATAAATAAACTAACGGGAAAAAAAAAGATTAAGGGGGGTTAGGAGCAGCCTGGTGGGGCGGACCTGTACCACACGCCCACTTTGTTACACATTATTAACATGTCTCACTTTTATTTTCTCTTGCCCACAAGCCCTGGAAGGGCAGGGACTGTGTCTGCACCCCCAGGGCCTCTGCTAGTCCTGCTGCCCCAGCTCGCCCCATCTGTACTTACTGCAGATCAAGGCCACAGCCATCCGCAGCAGCTTCAACTGGCACTTCATGCCTGACCAATTCTAGGGAAAAAAGAGAGTCCATTAGTTCCAGATTAGACCACTCCTCTGCAGGCGTATCTCGCTTAAGAAAATCTGATATTACAACACAAAAATGGGGGGCCGCAACAGGTGGCATGGTGGTTAAGGCACTGGACTCCCATATGATTAACCACAGTTCAAGTCTCAGACCTGACAGCTTGCTTTCTCACTTTCTCTGTTTCTCTCTGGTGAGTGCACATGTCCTACAGAAAATTTAAAAATAAGAAGAAGTAAAATGAAGTAATTCTTTTTTAAAATAATTTTTAAATTTTAACATATTTATTTATTTATTTATTTATTTATTTATTTATTTATTTATATTTGATCAGAGAGGGACAGAGAGAGAGAAAGCGAGAGAGAGGGAAAGTGAGAAAGCAAGCTACCAGGTCCACGACTTGAACTGTGGTCGGCCATGTAGGAGTCCAGCGCCTTTACTCACAACACCACCTGCTGGCCCCAATAAGTAATTCTTTAAAAAAAAAACAAAAACAGAGGCCACCAGGTGGCATGGTGGTTAAGGCACTAGACTCCCACATAGTCAACCACAGTTCGAGTCTCAGACCCAGAGGCTTGAAATTCATGCTGGACATACATGTGTGTGTGCTCTAAACCCCAGGATAATGGAGAAGGGGTTGTGGCATGGCTATCTTCCCGGGCAATGATTTCTCACTTTCACTGTCTCTCTGTCTCTCCAGTGAGCTCATGCACACTATGGCAAAAACCTTAAAAACAAAACCAAAAATAGACTCCATGACGTCCAGAGTGAGGGGGTTGTGACTGAGTAGCAGAACATGCCAACATGACTTTGAGAGTTTCGGCAAGTTTATTACTGAATAAGAACTTTTTTTTTTTTTTTAGGGGTTTTTCCTAAAGGGGGGGGGCACTTGC